TATATATATATATATATATATATACACACAAAAAAAACTAAATTAATTTAGGATTCACAACATTAACATAATATACTGTGTGGATGGATGGATATTCATTTTTAGATTTCCTAAAGATTACATTTAACAGTGTTATTAAATTGGTGTTTTTGAAGACTGTTACATCACAGCAAACATAACCTAAATGTAAAAATTGTGGAAATCAAAATGTGCAGTAAAATATCCAATATCAGCCAATGTACAACCAAAAATGGATGATATGATCAAGTTAAAATTTTAAAAACAAATAAAATTAATTTGTTGTGTTACAAATCATAACTCGGATCTTAAAGCAGTAGAATGTTTTCTTTCTTTTAAACACATGCAGCATTTGACACTCACGTGTGCCAATGGATCCCTGTTAATAAAGCATACTCACAATCGGACGTCTAGCTGATGATTGCTTCGCTCAGTGAAGTTAGCTTTGTGGTTAGCGTGAGTGGATTTGAGAACTTCTTTAGAGAGGGTTTGAGTGTGGCTGGGCTGAGGCTTGATGCTGTCTGACTCGGGGTGGTTTAGACTTGGTTTGGATGGTTCATGGCTGAATGATGGATCCTGCTTTCCTCGTGCACAAACACTGGTAAAGTTCAAGCCTTTTTGCTTCGTATAGAGCTGATACTGGACGTACGAAAGTTGACGGCCTGCTTTTATACTGCACAAAAGCAAATTTTTACATTTTTAATTTATAGTGCTCCTATAGCCTGCAAAGTGTACACAAACACACACACACCTGTCTGTGATCCACTCTGGCCGCACTACTTTCTCTCCCTTGAGCTCTTGTATTTTTCTGTTGGGCAGGTTGGTGGCAATGATATGTGTGGTTTTGGAGCGAGTGTAATAGAGATGGAACTGTCCACCATGCAGCATCATCAGCCTGCGCAGCTCATCTGCACTGGGATCTAAACACAAATAAACACAAAACAAGATAGCGCAGCACTCATTCTCCTGACACGTTCAGCCATGGTGCTCAGATGGGAAACACAGGCTCGAGTCCAGCCAGCAACATTTCCTCAGAATCATTCAACTTCATTTTTCCAATTAATTTAGCATATTCTTGTATATAAAAATATATAAACAATAATACTGTTATTGATTATGAGTACAAACAGTGTCGCGTTCCAAACGTTGTTTAAGCGACATACACCGGTAAAATTCATATCATAACAAAAATAAACACCGGTATTCGGTATGAACCGGTATACCGCCCAGCACGAATTATTAATATTAATTAATGAAAAGGGTAATTAATAAAATAACAATAATAATGATAATAATATCTCTATAAAAACATGTAATATTAATTTTCTTATTGAATGTTAGTATTAACATTAATAATTATTAAAAAAACAAATAATAAAAATAATTGTTAATGATAATAATAATGATGATGATGATGCTCAAATGATCTCAATTCAGGAAGAAAGTTTGTTTTCCTGTTCACATTTGTTATCAGAGCACAAGTGGGTGGTGAGGATGCTGGGAGAGATCTGACCTGTGTATCCATTGACGTAGATAGCCACACCGCTGAAGATACAGGTGGACGTTCCATCTTTCTGCTTCTCTCTCGGGGCGTCCTTCTGAAACTGCTCCTCAAGCTTAGAGATTTTTGCAGCCATGTAACCGCCCTAAAAAAATTCAACAAACAAAACTGTGATGTTAATTTGATTTAAAATCCCAATAAAAAAAATCCCATTCACATCAACACAACCTCATAAGATCAAGTAATAAGGCAAAACACAAAGCACACACTGACCAAGCACACTTATAGCATAAAAAACTATTCTAACCCCTGTAAAAATGAACAGACTGCAATATAGATATGCGCACAAAGAAAAACGTGCAGCGTCTGGCTGACAAGCGTTTGATTACGCCTCAGACATTCAATGAGACTGGAGGTGCAAGTCTGCCCTGCTGGCACGGCGACTCTCTGTCTCCATGGCAACGGATGGAACGCTGGGATTCAGGAGTTGAGACTGAACCAATAAACAGACACACACACACACAAAAATACTCCACAATACTCACTCGCTCCACCTGTACTGACAGGAAATTCCCTTGAACCTAATTAATATAACCTGAGATATGAAAACACACAAGGCCCGAAGGCAACGACTGTGCTGTGTTTAATTAAACTAAAAAAATTCTGCACAAAACAATTGTCATCCTGTACATGCACTGGCAAGATTCGCTTTCACATGAGATCCAGGGTCTGTTATTACGTCTGCAAATTACTACATTATTAACTGAAAATCAACAAATTATACAAACTCCACCCTTTCGGTTCCCAAATTTGGTGGCAACACATTATGATTGTCATATTATAGGGAAATATCGTGAAATGAAGACAGAAGCTCTTGGAGTTGTTTATACTAGTGTGGTTCTGCTAATGCCTGAGGAACACGAGGACATTGAAGTCTATCAAATCTCTCGCCGTGCTCGGACTGTGGCGGCAGAGTAGAGGTGCTGGTCACTAGTGAGGAAAATTGAGATTACTCACTGGTGTAATACAAATGAAAACCTGTCTAGACTTCAGCAGTAACACACACCAGCTCTCACATGAAGGGGAATGTTTGACTGGTAGAGAGGCAGTCAATGGTTATGAGGGAATTTAAGGACAACTTAAAATAATAGCAAAAATAATCATTTACAGTGTTTACAGGGGCAGCCTGGAAAAATAACACAGCACGTCAGAGGACGACTCAACTGTGAATAAAACAGCTGCTGAGCCTTCCTGTTTTCAATAATAAACACATTTCATAATAAAGAACAACAGACTCTTACCCGTCCACCCCACCCATCATCTTCACTGGCTTTCTTTCTCCATCCATCTCGACTCATACTGAGGGACCTGAAAGACAACAATTTAATGGAATGAGTCAAAAACTAAAAGCGTGAGTGACAGAAAATGAACAAAATATGCACATCTTTTCTCTTCCTCACTTACATGCATTTACAGACTCAAAGAAAGGGAGAGAGCTACTGTACATACAAGTGCTACTGCTTTAATTAGCAGGCAGATGAGTGACTCCTTTAATAAAGAAAATGAAATGCATCTGAAATGCTGAATTCTAAGCGGAGAACAAGTCTAATCAACTTTATTTGTATAATGCTTTTCACAATACACATTGTTTCAAAGCAGCCTTACAAAAAATCATGACGTTAAATGTTTATAATATCTTAATATCGTCATCCTTTACAGTTGCACGTAGCAGATTAGAGCCAGGTGATAATATAGTTCACATTTTTCAATGATATAAACAATCAAGCAGCAGAATTTAGCAAAGTGAAGTCAGAGTGAAGCACAATCCTCTAAATTCCACCTCATATTACCTAACATTATACTAAAAGAAATTGAACGCATCCGGCAGACACTTATCCAAATCGACTTACACTGCATTCAAGACTTTGCACTGCAACTTTGAAAAAAAGAGGTCAAAGGTGAGTGGAAAGCACGTGATCAACATTTTATTTTCTCTTACTACATACCTTATAATAGCACAGGTCGTCTGTACAACCTGTTCCAGTCATTTACTTTTATTCTTGACTAATTAATACATAAGACCTCTCAATTCACTCTCTCCATTTTTGCCTCTGTGGTACAGATAAGCCCAAACAATGCATCCCCAAAAGTAAAAGGGAAGTCATTCTCATCTCTGTAGCATGTGAGGAGCAGAGCAAGGCAGAACAAACATTATTAGGGAAGAACCCCGTTTCCTCCCTCCTTCATACAAAAATCACATACACAATCTCATTCTCCACAGGAAGCTGTATTGAGCGCATCTTCATGCATATGGTGCAAAAACAACGCTTCTAATCAGCCTTGTCTAAAATACACACCTCCTCTCCACTCAAAAAAACAAAAACAAAGTGTCCATCTCAGTCTTTCTTGCTTGGTTTCTTCATTCAACACAAACACACAGTGTTACAAGAGTTTTAAACACTAGGCTGGCTCTACATGAGCAGCTAGGCTAACTTTATCATAAGCCTGGTCACTTCAGATATTTGGAGTAGCACAGTCGCAGTGTTACAAAGTAAATCTTTTCATTAAAAGGGGTAGTGATGAATGACACTGACATACCAGTGTTATTTATTGACACATGTTGGATTATTTCTCTTTATGTTACATATTTAATAGTCATGTTGTGATATATGATACATTTTAACCGGCTACTAGGTATACTGGACTGAATTGAACTATGGCAGCTCAGGGAATCAGAAAACATCTGATTATTTTACCCTATATTACACTAAAAATATGCAACAGATACCTACTTCATTAGGCCAGTTAGGACAGTTGACTGTTTTATGTCAATAAAAACAACAGTCCAAAAAAATCATAATCATAAAAAAAATATTACTTTTACAGCTGAAAAAAAGCACCTTAAATCAGCCTTTTTGTGGTCTCATAACCTGTCCAACCTTGTATTCAAATGGTTTAGCCAGCTGGTCTCACTGCTTGACTAACTGAAAAGTGTTTAAAACTCCTCTAAAACCAGCAACCAAGAACGGCAAACTGGTTTAAGTCGTTTTTAACCAGGGATGATTGAGGGAGGCTTTGAAACAAATGGACAGTTGGCAAATGGACAGATCCACGTTTACTGAACTGTTAACAAGCAACAAAATCGTATATATCAGAAATAAAAATAAAAGACAGTTACAAAGCCATACGTGATAGCTTCCTAATACGAATTATACTGAATATTGGGTTTACTTAGCTTTAGTTTAACACATCGGCCATCACATGGGATATGCCTGACCATGTGAATGACCACTGGACTGTCTCAGCTAGAAGAAAATACTGTGCTGCAAATTTGGGAAACCGAAATTCGATATAGACGATAAGTTAGTGGGTCAGTTGTTGATAGAGACAGTGATCAGACACAGAGGAGACTAACAAGGCAAGTAACATGTCGTGCATAATAAACTGGATTCCCATCAACCTTTTGAACAATGTTGCAGAAGTGCAACACAGCAGCACACATCAGATCGAGCAGTTCAATACAGAACAACACAACTGTAGCGTCACTTTGCGTGTGATGCGCGGTTTCTTTTTAAAACGAAACCTCTGAAAACTGAAATTGTTTCTCACCAATTATCCCCCTTCTTTACAGATGTATTTTGTTCAAACCAAAGCGCCTTTGTTTCCGCTCTTGGGTTGCGTCCACCCCTTTTGCGTCAGATTTGAAATATTACTAACAGAGACTTGGTGCATGCTGGGCTCTGTCCATATCAACATGCTCCAGCGACTGCACGATTCACCCCTTTTACCATTCACTCGTATCTCTATTGCTAGCCGCTTGCTCACTGTCGCCTCTGCCAGATTTTCTGCTTGTTTTCCGCGTAAGTCCCTCCTCCTCCTCCCCTCGGCCGGGGTCACACAGTGACAGGCGCTAGCCCTGTCTGTATCTCGCAGCACCCTCAAGCGGTCTGTTAGTCTCTCTACACTTGACGCAGCGCGCAGTTTAGCTTTGAATTTTAATCACGTTGTATGACGTCGCCCCGAAATGTTCCAATGACGACGCTTGGCTCGTGTATATTAATTAGGTCGTGACGTTGTCGCCGGGTAACGTTCCAATGGCAAGGCCTGTCTTATGAATATTAATAAGTGAGCCTTAGTAAGATTCAGGATTCATGAATTCGCATCGGACAGTGTTGAATTTAGCATTTCATTGTGATCGAGATCAATGACAATCTTACATGGAGGATGTGAGGTAGTCGTTTTTACACCCCAAAGATCCACTTTTGTTGAGGTTTATCTGAATCTGAAAACGGTCTATGCTAGTCTGGCACATAATGCTCTCGTGTCCCCAGGTAACCTGTGGAGCTCAGACACAGAGATTGCCTTATGAAACGTCTATTTATAGCTCTATTTATTCTAGTCTTTATGGCAGAATATATTACAAAATACGTTACTTTACCATGTTTTGTCGCCAATTATTCATTTAGTGGGGGGGGGGGGTTCGTTTAAAAGACGTTTTATAGCCGTCCAAACACATGCCTGACGTCTAAGCTAAAACAAAACTGAATTTGGGCTGTCAGAGAAAATTTAATAGACGCCTAACCATAGCCCAAGAATAGAGTAGTCATCAAAAAGACAGCTTATGAATGACTACATTCAGTGCATCCATTCACAGCGCTTCACTTTTTCCCAATTTTATGTTCAGCCTTATTCCAAAATTGATTAAATTAATTATTTCCCTCAAAATTCTACAAACAATACCTCATAATGACAACGTGAAAGAAATTTGTTTGAAATCTTTGCAAATTTATTTTAAAGACGGGAAATAAATCACATGTACATAAGTATTCACATCCTTTGCCATGACACTCAAAATTGAGCTCAGGTGAATCCTGTTTCCACTGATCATCCTTGAGATGTTTCTACAACTTGACTGGAGTCCACCTGCAGGTGGTAAATTCAGTTGATTGGACATGATTTGGAAAGGCACACACCTGTCTATATAAGGTCCCACAGTTAACAGGGAATGTCAGAGCACAAGCCATGAAGTCCAAGGAATTGTCTGTAGACCTCAGAGACAGGATTGTATTGAGGCACAGATCTTGGGAAGGGTACAGAAAAATTTCTGCTGCATTGAAGGTTCTCAGAAGCATGTAGTCTCTGTTACTCTTAGTGGATGAAGTTTGAAACAACAAGGACTCTTCCTAGAGCTGCCAAACGGAGCAATTGATGGAGAAGGGCTTTGGTTAGACTGGTGACCAAGAATCTGATGGTCACTGTAGTTGAGCTCAATGATCATATGTGGAAATAGGAGAAACCTAAGGACAAACATCACTGCAACACTCCACTGATCCGGTCTTTATGGCGGTGTGGCCAAACTCAATCCTCCCCTCCGTGAAGACACATGGAAACACGCGTGGAATTTGCAAAAAAGCACCTAAAGAACCCTCAGATTGTGAGAAACCAGATTCTCTGGTCTGATGAACCTCCATTCCAAGCATCATGTTTGAAGGAAACCGGCACTGCTCATCACCTTCACAATACCATCCCAACAGTAAAGTGTGGCAGCAGCCTCATGCTGAGGGGCTGTTTTTCAGCGGCAGGGACTCGTCAGAGTAGAAAAACTCAACACAGCAAAATAGAGAATCGAGAATCGCCTTAATGAAAACCCAGTCCAGAGCATTCAGAACCTCAGACTGGGCAGAAGGTTCATCTTCCAACAGGACAACAACCCTAAACACACAGCCAAGATAACAAAGGAGTGGCTACGGGACAACTGTGAATGTCCTTGAGACTTGAAGCCGATTGAACATCTCTATAGAGAGCTCTGAAAATGGCTGTGCACCAATGCTCCCCATCCAACCTGATGGAGCTTGAGAGGTCCTGCAAAGAAGAATGGGAGAAACTGCCCAAAAATAGGTGTGCCAAGCTTGTAGCATCATAATCAAAAAGACTTGAGGCTGTAATTGGTGCCAAAGGTGCTTCAGCAAGGTATTGAGCAAAGGCTGTGAGTACAAGTATACATTAAAAAAAATAATAATAAATTTTATAAAAAAAACAAGCTACTTTCGCTTTGTCATTATGGGGTATTGTTTGTAGAATTGAGGAAAAAAATTTATTTAATCCATTTTGGATGTAACATAAAATGTGGAAAAAGTGAAGCGCTGTGAATACTTTCCAGATGCACTGTATACACATCTAATAAGGAGTGTGAAGTAACGAATTACAAATACTCACGTTACAGTCTCATGAGTTCTTTTAAATAGGCTACTCTTTTACTCAAGTAGTTTTTTGGACAAGTACTTTTACTCTACTCACACTACATTTTTTGGAAGGTAATGGTACTTTTACTTGAGTATATTTTTTCAGTACTCTTTACACCACTGCATCTAATCGACAACAAAATAATGGCTAAAAGATTCTTTTTTTTAACTCAAATATAACCGGTTCTCATGAATGGCAATCCATCCAAACAAATATCCAAACTAAGATAAAGCTTTTAAGAAAAAGAATGTTTGCAACAACTGAGACAACTTAAGATAATACAAAATGATAAAAACAACTTAATTCTCACCAATTCGCCTATAAGACTAATAGGTCGGTTGATGATGCTGTGGCTCTGTGTTTCCATTCAATTTCGCAACACCTTGAAGCCCCTAATACTTATGTCAGAGTCCTTTTTGTGGACTATAAATCGGCATTTAATACAATTATTCCAGTTAAACTTTTTGATAAGTTAAAGCAATTGGGGATTCAACACTCCCTTGCTTTTTGGATTTTGGATTTTTTGCAGAACAGAACACAAGTAGTTAAAATTAATAATATACTTTCAAGTCTCAAAACAATTCGTGTGAGGGCCCCACAAGGATGTGTGCTGTAACCATTATTGTACTCTGTATACACTAATGATTGTGTTTCACATTGTAAATCAGTGCAAATTTTTAAGTTTGCAGATGATACTACATTGATTGGTTTAATAACGATTCGGAAGGGAGGTTTCTACACTGTTCGAATGGAGTTGTACTCATAATTTGAAGGTGAATGTCCTAAAAACAAAGGAAATGGTGTTTGATTTCAGACGGAAGACAAATGCTGTTTTGCCATTGACTATTAATGGTCAGGACATTGAAAATGTTCAATGTTTTAAGTTTCTCGGGACTACTATCTCTGCAACGCTAAAGTGGGACGACAACCTAAGAGGCATTATTAAAAAATATTTTTTCTTAAGACAGCTTAAAAAGTTTGGCGTATGTAAAGTTGGTATGTTAAATTTTTATAGAGCTGTCATTGAAAGCGTGCTGACTTTCTCACTTATAGTGTGGTTTGGCAGCTCAGCAGAGAAGTCAGATTAGTAACATAACTCTAAGGTTGCTTCAAAAATTATTGGTTGTGATCTTCCCACTATTGATGAGATCTATGTTTCACTTTTGCAGAAAAAAGGTTTAACAATCCTGAAAGATCCCTTACATCCAGCCAGACACCTCTTTACGCCTCTTCCTTCAGGCAGACGCCTTAGAGCAATTAAAACTAAGTCTACACGTTTTTTGAACAGCACTTATTGTAGGATTGTTCATGCTCTTAATTCCTCTGGTGTCTATGCATCTGTATTTCACTCCTTATAATTGATAGGACATAGATAGTCGTGTATGTATTTATATATTGTATGTATTTTAATGTTTGTTATTATTGTTGATGAGCTCACCAAGCAAAATTCCAAACAACTAGGGTGTTTGGCAATAAATAAATAAATAAAGGTAATAAAAATATAAAGAGTGGCAATTTTTTTTTTTAATAACTTCGATTTCAAAATAAAATGTAATACAAATTCAGAGCATTAACATTAAAACATTATGGATAAATGACAAAGTAAAATAAAACGGGATTAACCCTTTTGTTGGCTTACTTATTTCAACAAACTACCAACAGTGAACTTTAAGAAAATAATTAATTGTTGTTGTTTTTTTTATGTTTAAAATGCTTCCCAATTGCATTCCTCAAATCCAATTTTGTCGCTGGGAAGTTGGTCATCATGGCATCTGCCAAATAAGAAAAAACTTTCATGAGAAAAGCATTTTTGTCCATTTTTTTAACTTTTTGATTACACTGTTGATTGGATGCACACTAGGACTGGGCAATATAGAGTTTAAGACATATCAATATATTTTCCAAAGCAATATAGATTGAGACTATATCATATAGCCTGAGTCACATTAAAATAAATTTATTCAACCAGTTATTTAAAAAAAAAAACAAGATATAGGCCTATATTGTGTATTGTTACGTGTATACTGTTACGACCCTCCTTTGGTTGTTAAGCGTCTAGGGACTGAGAAGGGGAACATTGGACCAGTTCTGACCATTACCAGCTTCACACTCGGTGTGTGAATGAAAGTAACTAATAAGACTGGAGACTAAATCAAGCGAACTTGTTTTATTATTGAAGACCGTGACAGTTATTTACACAAGACAAAAAGAGAATAGGTATGTATATAAAAAATTAAGGAAATAATTATTTACAAAAGAATCCTAGACACACCGGCAGCTTTACAATGCTGGAATGCTTTACATGATGGTAGTTGAACAAATTCAGAGTTACAGGATTCGTTTCGAACTACTCCAATCTGGCTTTGTTGGTACCATGATGCTGATCACAACTTTCTTTGTCAACTCGGGCTTTGATCCTGAGTTTGTGGATTGTGTGGAGTTTATGTGTGACATCAGTGGCGAACAGGCAATCACATGCCTTGCATCAGAGCAAGTGTGATTCACTTCTCGCGAGAGAGCAGCGAAATTCAAAACTCTTATGCTAAAGGTTAAGAGATTGAAGAATATGAGGAATTTACACGCATTTACACTGAAGAAAGTACTTGTCCATGAAAGAGGACAAATAAAAGAAATGAAACTTGTGAAGATAATATATAGCGATAGAGACTCGGAAATGTAAGGT